GATCATCAGAGACAGATCAGCACGGAGGCTGAGGTTGTCTCAGAAGGCCTACATTGGGAAGATTCTTGAAAAGTTCAGCATGGAGAAAGCTAAACCAGTGGGCTCGCCGTTTGCAAGCCATTTCAAGCTATCGAAAACCCAAGCACCAGAGACTGCTGAAGAGCATGAGTTCATGGCTAACATACCATACGCATCTGTCGTCGGGAGTTTGATGTATGCGATGGTGTGCATAAGGCCAGATATTTCACAAGGAGTGGGAGTTGTGAGCGGCTTCATGAGCAATCCAGGAAAACAACACTAGGGTGCGGTCAAGTGGCTTCTACGCTACTTGAGAAGCTCGTCCGACTGTTGTCTTGAGTATGACGGGACAAATTTACAGCTAGAGGGCTTTTGTGATGCAGACTATGCCGGGGACATAGATTCGAGAAGGAGTACAAGCGGCTACATCTTCATCTTGGGTGGTGGAGCGATAAGTTGGAGATCCAAGTTACAGGATACTGTGGCTTTGTCGACAACCGAAGCCGAGTACGTGTCTGCAGCAGAGGCAGCAAAGGAGTTGCTATGGTTGAAGGCTTTTCTTCTCGAGCTTGGAGTAAGCTTTGAGAAATACTCCATCCACTGCGACAGTCAGACTGCGACAGTCAGAGTGTCATTCACTTGTCAGAGAACGACGCATTCTATGCTCGGACCAAGCATGTTGACGTGAAGCACCATGCCATACGGAGATGGCAAAGCAGGAACGAGTTCAAGCTTGTGAAGATTGATACGAGGTACAATCCAGCCGATATGCTGACCAAGTCAGTTCCGCTCGAGAAGGTGAGGCTGTGTGCAGCCTCATATGGTCTCCGTTGAGAATGTTGAGGGCCGTGCAAGACGCCAAAGATACAAGACATCCAGATGATGCAACCAAGAAGAGTGTGAAGATATGATTGATACTCAATCAAATCTTCAAGTGGGAGATTGTTAGCCGCAGCCTTATTTGACCCAGCCAGACAACCCTTGCCGCCTTTGTTGACATTTGAGAATTTGGTGCCGTTTTTTGAGAAGAATGAAAAAGGTGGTGGGTCCCGCAAATATTTTATTATTAGTGACGGGTCCCATTGACAATATTTTATTTGTGCATAGTGTTTCCCAAACACTATAAATAGGGTCCTAAACTCTTAAGGAAATCACATCCCAGAAACAACTCCTCTTATAGAAGAGTAAGAGAAAACACAGAGAGAGTTTGTGAGAGTTCTTGGAGTGTATCTGATCAAGAAATGGTGTTCTCTTGGATCTATTCTTTTGGGATATAAAACAATTTGGCGTCGTCGTTGCACCGTGGAGTAGCTCCGAAGGAGTGAACCACGTATATCTGTAAGTACTTTGGTTGATCTTGTGCCTTTATTTTGTGTATTGCGTCTCCATTAGAGGCATTCTTATTGGGGTGTATCCTAACAATAACCTCCACATTCATTCGAACAAATCGTTGAATTGCTTTGCAATGTGATATAACTCACGACTAGAAATAAAAGTCGTCAGTTTTTTCATGTCAGTTTCTCTATTTGAACAGAGCCTAATTCTTCCACCCTTCTCTACACAAGATGTCCAGCTAGACAAGGCATCAGTCTAAAGTAGCAGACAGCTAGACAAGGCATCAGTCTAAAGTAGCAGAAGTTTGCAAAATTATACTTCAAGTTCAAAACAAGTAGTTCTCCTAATATCACTTGAGATTTTGTAATCTAATACAAATTAAATCCGGCAATAGCTCTAATTTATCACAATTCAATCCCAAAATTCAGACTATCTGCACCAATAATCGTTCTGAGTTTATCAATTTTACTAATTTCTTTTCATCATGGAGTCAATCACAAACATAGTTTTGTTTCTGCATGAAAAGAAACAAAATAATGGGCATCGTTCTTGAAGTTGATGCGCTTAACATTTTCAAGCAACTTAACCACTTGACTTTTAGGGAGGAACACATCTTTTAGTTGCTATCTTATTAATTAAATGTCTATACTATACCAAACTGTCCAAACAAGCATCATATGAAGTGTTGTTCAACAATCATTTCAACATTTACTTGAAGTATTTTAGTGTGTTTTGTGAACACTTGTATGAAATCTTTTAGTTGCTATCTTATTAATTAAATGTCTATACTATACCAAACTGTCCAAACAAGCATCATAGGAAGTGTTGTTCAACAATCATTTCAACATTTACTTGGAAGTATTTTAGTGTGTTTTGTGAACACTTGTATGAAATCAAACTAACGTAGGTTTGCTTTGGGAGTTGACAAGTACATTTTCCTTAGTATCTATTCAGGACATCTTTTAATCTCGCAACTAATGTTTTAGATATTGGCCGATAAACTAATATTATCGGTAATTTATCGGTTTTGGGGGCCTTCCGTTATGATAAGTTTGATTCTAAATTGGTTATCGTTTTTGGATGTTTATCGCCGATAATGCATCGATGAAGTGAGTTATCGGCCGATATTATCAGCCAAAAAATCAGAATTTTCGGCCTTTGGTTTGAGTTTTGATTTTGGACAACGGGCACCTATTCAATGCACTATAAACCCAACCCGACCCGAGTTTCTACCATAGGTTAGTGATCCTAAACATAATTATTTATATTTTGGTATGTTTATATTTTATTAAGTATTGTTAGATTATATTTTAGAATATTATATTATGTACATCACCATTCAGTAATGTTACTCCGATAAATACTACTTATCCCCGATATCCGCTATCCGATATGGATTTTGACCTTCCGATAAATTCCCGATAACCGATATTTGAAACCTTGCTCGTAACACAGGAAACAATTAATAATTATAATGTAGTTTTTCATGAAAAGCTTTGTCCCTTGTTCTACTCAAAATGCCATCTTACCTCCGACCACAGGCTTTGTTTTGCTATATATTAATTCATAAACCAGCCTCCACTTAATAATAATCATTCTCCAGAATGTATAGATAATTCATCTATCTCTCCACCATCTGTGCCCACTGCCCCCTGACTGCCCTGACTGCTTTGATTGCCCTCACCAATCTGCTTTATGATTACATAATTTTCATTGTTCCCTATTCATCACACTACTTGCCATCCTTTATTGTGTGGTAACTTTATATTGACAACTGAACTGTTACCAGAAATAACAATGTAGAAATTGCTCATTTCAATGTTTTCTTGCACCATCAATTTCATTCTAAAGATTAAGGTCCACTTAGATGCTTTTTGGGGATTGAAGTTGCCTTTTCCACAAAGGTATGTACACGTGTCTCAATGCAAACACTCTTGAAATTGCATTCTTCTAAGGGGGTGTTAGTGAATTGTGACATTTTCATGCAAAATGGGATAATTGTTAAAGTGGAATAATTTTTCGCTAGTGGGATATTTTAGTGGGATAAATAGGAATAATTTTATGAAGCGGGATATTTTAATAAAATAACGTGGGATAAATTTTTATAATCATGAAATATATATTTATGTATTTTGAAGATATAAATACTATTTATGTATTTTAAATTTACTACTATTGATTGATAATTGATTACAAGAATGTTCTTTACTATTAAATAGCTTTTGGTTAGACTATAAGATATTAACAATTATTATTATAATGATGGTCTAATGATGATGATAACCATAATAGGAAAGAAGTAAAGAGAAAAAAATAAATATAAAAAATAAAAAATAACAAAATAAATATGAGTTCTAGTTTTTTACCACCCAGTTCTAAGTTAAAACTTGGAATAATTTGAGAGACTAGAACTCTCATTTTTATATAAAAAATAAAAAAAGTGGGATAATTTTGTACCATTATCACAATTCTAGTTTTGTTAGAGTTTTACTTGACTAACACTGTAAAATTTTGTTCTAATTTTAGTTCTATGTGACTAACACCTTAAAAATTTATCTCACAGATTATCCCAGTTCCAAATTTAAGTTCTAGATGACTAACCCCCCCTAAGTGCTCATTTTATTTATTTCCCTGCAATGCAAAAGCCACATCTTGTTGATGGTGATGTTGATACTCCTCCTAAACCCACTATAAATGTTTGGTGGATTGTCTCATTTGCTTCACCATCACGCATCCCCATATTGCCAATGTTATACATATTCTTCATAGGCCTCATCGATTTCATCTTGCTACTTCCAAGAGTTTTTTTTTTTTTGCCACCTAGAAGAATCTCTAGGTTAAGGAGTATTACTTTCTTCAAATAATAATCTTCAACTCAAGAGTGCTTTGTGACTCTGATCGGACTAGTTGTTCAATGACTCATCCTCTCATTGTTGAATACTGTATCATGTTTTTCAAGAATATACGGAAGATAAAGAAACAAGCTGCAATTTCTCGCTCACTACCTCAAGCTGAATACCACGTTGTGAAATCTAGCTACGAATTTAATTGACTCATTTATCTTTTACTAGGCTTGGGTATTATCTATACCCAACAATTCTTCAATCAGACAGCTCTAGATATTGCCCCAAATCCAGTTTCCCATGAGCACTCAAAGCATCTGAGCATGATTGCCTCTTCATTCATTTGAGGAGGGAAAAAATCAATTTGGATCATTATCTACTAAATTCCTTCATAATGTAACATCAATTTTGGTATCATCTACCCAAGCTGTGCAGTGTTGAGCATTGTAAAGGCTAATTTAGTGCAGACATATAGCAGGATTCTTGATGAAACACTGCCAACAGAAACATCTCCCAATTCCATTCTTCAACAATTTAATCTCTTGTTTGAGCGCTATTCCTTGGATAGGCATCTATGCACATTGCCAAACATGTTTTTATTGCTGTGAAATGATAATACAACAAATTTAACTCCAGCAATGTCTAAGTTTGCATAACATTTCTCCAAGAATGAGTTCATTATAGTGCGCAAAAATCACAGTTTGACTGAGACCGAATTAAATTTTTCCGATGCTTAGGAATCTAAAACTACTAATTTCTAATTTAATTAAAAAACATAAATTTAAGTGAATTTATGAATCTTACTTGACTTTCCAAGATACGCTTCACGCTCGCAGCGCATCCATCACAAGACATCCCCTAAAATTAAATCACCAAATTCCACACTAAAAATCCCCTTCAAAAGTTCTATTTTTCTTTTTTTCTGTAGAAAGATTAAACAAAAATCAAATCTCTTACTTCAACGCTTAAAACTATAACATCATCATCGTCCCCCAAATCTGAAACCTCCTCTGACTCCCCAACCGCAATCGATCTCGACTCCGTCTCCCGAGCACGAGACGGAGCGGAATGGGCGAGGAGAGCGGAGGGAGTTTAGGAGGAAAGAGGAGGATTTTAGAGGAGGGAGGGTTCTGAAAGAGTGGCGGGAATTAGGGTTTATGTGATGGGTGGAAGGGATAAGGGGTATTTTGGGAAGAGCAATGGAGTCCATCCGTGCTCCTCTTTATTTTCATGCTTAGAAGCGGGAGATGGAGGTAATATATAGTGGAGGCAGGGGCGAGGGCGTGAAGCTGCTGCGTGTGCTTGGTTGTTGATAACCTTGCATAAATCACTGAATAGCCACTCAACAAGATAAATTACTTTTCTCAGAAAATAAATAAATAAATAAAATAAATTTCATGGATAAATTATTTGGTATTCCACATGCTTACCAAAAGACATAAGTGCAGCTACATGATATTACTACTATAAATACACATGATTTTTAGCTACTAATATTAAGTATGCTTACCAAAGGGACAAAGCTAATGTTCCAAAGGGAAATTAGTTTTTGGACCTAAAATTATTGGACCAAGAAAAGAGTAACGTGTCTTATTGAATTTTTAGTCTAAAAAGAAGTGTATTATTTGTTAACATTTAACGTGTCAAGAAAGAAGAGTCATTGGATCAATGCAAAACATAAATTTAAGGAGTAAACATATTATTTTTGGCTTATCAAGTCAACAATGAAGCGCATCTGTTGGTAAGTTTTTCTGTTACAAATACACAATTCCAACTACTATTTTTGACCAATGACACTCAGAATATCAAATCGACAACTCATCAGTCTACAAGAAAAGCAATAAATGATCTACTCAACTTCATGATCGCGTGTAACAGCCACCAATTTCATTCATGCGCCAGGGTACCATAGCACACCAACAATCCAGGGGGGGGGACTCTCCTCTGTATTTCAAATTCCAGTGGTTCATTACTTGCTTATTAGTTGTGAGTAGCGATTCACAACATTGTCCAAGTTCAAGTTAATTTTACTAGAGATTTGATTTGCATATAACTTCATCACCAGAGCCATACATAGTAAAAACATTAAACATTCTCACCGTACAATAAAAAATTCATATTCCAGTGTTCTCATGAAGCAATTTTATGCCTTGAGCATTTTCAGATACATGGCAGAGTGCAACCATGTAAATAACGTCTCAAGCACCACTGGTTTTCTACAGGCTAACTATGATTTAGAAGAAAGCAACTTCACGCCAAATAACAAAAGGTAATCACAATAATATTGGACTGTAAATCACTAAACATACTGATAAATTGAAACCTCTCTCTAACCCAAAAAGAAATTTAAGTTTACAAAACACATTCAAAATTATCAAGCTTATAACATAACAACATTCAAGTTCGGTATAGAAATAAAGAAGAATGACAAACAAAACAAAATAATGGGAATATCCATCATACACTATTGAGCAAACAACACGTCACGAGAACAAAGGAAAAAAGTGATTCTGGAAACTGAAGGCTCCTTCATTCCCTAAATTATGTAGATGTATCATCTTATAGCAACGAGAAGTGATTCTGGAAACTGAAGGCTCCTTCATTCCCTAAATTATGTAGATGTATCATCTTATAGCAACGAGGAATGACAATATCTCTTGCACTGCCCTTCATTCCCTAAATTATGTAGATGTATCATCTTATAGCAACGAGGAATGACAATATCTCTTGCACTGCGCATTTATGGTTGAAGTTCAAATTGTACTATCACCAACTAGTAAGAGCTCTCACCTTATAGACAAAAAGTTCTTGCTCTCTTCTAGCAGGCACAGCCTCCTGATTGTTGCTCAGGGTTGGATGAGCTTACTGTGGGCTTCAGGTTTACATCGACCATATCTTCCTGTCTTGTGGAAGAGAGGTTCTCCATTCCTGGCAGGGCTGCAGCAATCTTTCGGAATAGTGGCTGCAATTCATAACACAACACGTTATATTCATTTTTAAGAGATCAATTTATTGAATCTTTTTTACAGTCGGAGTTTACTAACCTTGATGTTGAATCCAGCTTTAGCACTAGTCTCTATGAACATGACACCGACTTCACGGGACTTTGCTTCTCCTTCTTCTATAGAGACTTGCCTGTTAAACCACAATGAAAGCAACATGATGATAGGTAGTTATAGAGAGATGCAAGAGTATCATGTAAACTAAAGAAAAAGGACACGGTCCTTTTAGTTTTTGAAGGAGGAAAAAGAAATCCACCTTAGTTCTGCAGTCAACAAATATGAATATCTCTTGACCATGTGTAGTATTAATGAACTCAAACAATTTCTCATTCATATACACACCTCATAGTAGGGTATGTTAGAAGTTACAGGTCTCATTCATTTAAGCAACACAAGATAGAAGCCAATCTATGTAAGAATTATATGTACCTTACTTTAAAATCATGTGGAAAAAAGAAAAACAAAAGACTTTCATCGCATAGTATGCCTATATAATCCATTTAAGTAAACGAAGTTTCAGTAATAGAGTTTTTACTCGTAAACTCCTGTACTGGTGAATATGAGTTCAAAACTTCTCTTAAACTATGAAAATAGCAACCAATTAGACCATGATTTGTTACAAGGAACATTTTCAACAACTGAGAAACAAGATGTAGCCATGATGCCAGCCACAAATATCTGGGTAAGATAGAGAATAAGAAAGATTTGAATAGACCCAACTCCTGAATCCAAAACCAAAATACAATGTAATAGCTAGAAACTGATTAAAAAAAAGCAATAAATAACTACAAGTTTACTAATTTCTTCTGATTACATTAACATGTAAATAACAGCATAAAAAAAAGCAATAAATAACTACAAGTTTACTAATTTCTTCTGATTACATTAACATGTAAATAACAGCACATAAAGGTAACAAATACTTCTCTGAGTTTACTAATTTCTTCTGATTACATTAACATGTAAATAACAGCACATAAAGGTAACAAATACTTCTCTAACTATTATCTTAAAGGGACAACATAAGCCATGTAATGAACCTCAAGGTATTAGAAAATGAGGAGGATACTCTTTAAGTAATGAAAACGTAAATGCAGAAGCATTGAAAAAACAAATAGAATAAAAATGAGGAGGATACTCTTTAAGTAATGAAAACGTAAATGCAGAAGCATTGAAAAAACAAATAGAATAATATGTTCCTCATTTATCACCTTTTTTCAACAAGATCTGTTTTGTTTCCAACAAGGACAATAATAACATCACCACCTCGTTCTGTGCGTACTTCCTCAATCCACTTTGAAGTGTTCAAAAAGGATTGTCGGTCTGTCAAGGCAAAAAATAAAAATGTGACATACAATTTAGCATAGTTATACTATTAGATGCAGAAACCTTTTGTGAGAGGCACACTACTGAAATTAATAGTTTCAACTCCAGAAGGAGTGGTTAACTTGTGGATGATTTTTACAAGGCCAACAACTTCATTTAATAGTTTTTACTCAAGAACGAGTGGTGAATTTGGGGATGACCATTACACGTAAAGACAAATGATTGCATATGTCGGCCAAGCTTATTCTGTACCTAACTATACATGCCTGTTTTATAGATAAACTTATCAACTTTTTTTCATTGAAAGCCTAAAAACAGTCAATATAACAGGAGCTGAAAGGGAGGGACAAAAAGGATTAGGATGCCAAGATTTGGGTGGAAGACTTTGTTGCTATTGGTTCTTTAATTTATTTAATTTTTTAAAATACGGATATCAAACTTTTAGTAACTGTTAACTATCCATAAAACCCTACACACCCTGAAGCCAGCATATAAGGATTTTCTGTTGTTGATTCCTAATGTCATGCTCCTCCTATGCTGCCTGGCATAACAAAGCTTGACCCATAATACAGAACCTAGAGGTGTAATCTTTTGTTCATTTAAAATCAACAATTTAAAGTATTTGAGGACCGGTCATTATAAATTTAGCAGAATGAGTAAATTATACAAGCTTATCCAGGGAACAATCATGAAAATGATAGCATAATTCACAGTGTTACCAGTTGCAATTATCTTAAACTTAATGATTTACCTAAATATGTATGCCATGTTTGTTTTAATACAAGATTGAGAAAATAATTAAGGGTACTGAAAAAAAGTGAATAATGAGGACTACAATAGCGAAGTGTATGCATTATGTTCCTAGTTAAAATTGTCTTAAAATATTGAGATGCTCACTCGACAAAATTAAACCATGTCTGAGGAAACAAACCAGGTAAAGAAAACAGCTCTCATCTTTGTATAATCACATGATTGGTCTATTCAGTTGAATACGTAGAAAATATGCTTCCAATGCCAATCAAAATTCTACATATATATCCTCGAAAGTTATGGAAACCAATGTCTCTTTCAAGAATATCTCTTGCAAAGTTTTATATATGGCATGTGAGCAAATTTTGCCAAACTGACAATTAAAAACTGCTTACTTGCAACATCATAAACAATGACTGCAACAGAAGAATCTCTAATGTAGCTTGGAATAAGACTCCTAAATCTCTCCTGCCCAGCAGTATCCCTGCAAATTTAAGGAGACAGAAGATGTTATCTCAGATTGGTTAAACAAAAAGTTAAAGCACATGCACACATGCAAATATAAACACACTTATAGACTTGTTTTCATGTTTGTCCAATAAGTTACTCCCGGAAGTGATAAGGGAACAGTTATTGCTTGTTTATAGATCTAAGCAGAAGCATGCATAAACTTCATTGACCCTATAGATGGTTGGATGAGTGGATATACAGTAAGGGATAAGATAATAAATGAACATATTTAATAGGAAGTTGGAGATTGATCCTGCTGAGGATAAAATAAGAAACTCGTTTGAGATGGTTTGGTCATGTGCAACGAAGGCCACTAAATGCACCAAATAGGAGAAGTGATAAGATTATTATTAATGGATAACGGACTAGAGGTATCAGGTAGCTAAGTAAACTTGGTTAGGAAGGATATGATAATGAACAACGTAGTGGAGGAGATAGCCCTCAACACTACTGATTGGAAGAGCAGGATTCACGATATTCAATGGTTAGCATCTGGATGATATAATAGAGTTATAACTTCGTTGCTATTAAAAAATGCAACATAATTATACAAAAGGTTTTTTATGCAATGAGTATTATGAGATTTTTTTACTTAACATGCATTTCTGAGTTTCTTCTTAAATCCGCAAAAAACATTGTGTTGTGAAACAGGTAAGAATTAGAAAGGGTCTTGTATATGCAGTGTTTCTTGGTCTTTGCTTTAGTTCCATTACTCATGCCCAAGTATACACAAGATGACATCATGACTGCAGGCTATTATGAGACATATTATACAGAATTCTACTCAAGGGCTGTGGAGATACTATAGAAAAGAACACTTTCATTCTAGTTTATCACTTCACTTGTTTCTCTCATTAACATGAACCAAGTTACTTATGAAAAACATACTCCGTCAAAGTAATAAACATTGAGACTGCTAAGTATGGAGAAGAGAACAATACCTGAGAACTAGCTGCAAATATTATGCTGGTGATTTAATGGATAAATAATATACCTTGAACAAGTTTGCATCCAATCTTACATGAACAATGCTTGCATGTGTATCCGGATAATCTTGCATGTGCGCTCGATCTTTGCATGTGCACAAAATCGAATGCACACGCATTCATGTGCACACCCACCAAAACAATACTATATTAAAGGTTAGACCTTACATAGACAAGTTATCTATCCATCTAGTTGTGATTTCACTATATGGGCTCTGCTTAATAAGCTGAACATGACAGTATTGCCCATATAGTACAATATCATGAATGGAAAATAGAGCTATCATTTCCAACAAGCAAACAAATACAATGTTATATCCATCTTATAAACTATTAATAAACAAGTAAATTATTATAGATGGAAAGTTTCTGGTTTGTTAGAATGATCTAGTTTCGGGATGCATTTGCATACAACCTGACAGTCATTCTCTCCGTCACAGGCTAAAAGATAACAAAATTTCCATCTATATTTTCCCTACCAAGAATTCTTTCAGATCATATATTTGGGTTTTCTTTACGACAATTATAAGTATGAATATCCAATATAAATATCAAATCATAAGCGAAGAAAGATAAAGTTCAACATAGGCAGCATCTTTTTTCTTAGGAAAAGCATGCAGACAGCTTACCATAGCTGCAAGCGAACTGTGCGATCTTCAAGGTACATTGTCTTCGACAGAAAATCAATGCCAATAGTGGCCTGAAAAAAGCGAACTGTGCGATCTTCAAGGTACATTGTCTTCGACAGAAAATCAATGCCAATAGTGGCCTGAAAATCGTATACCATAATGCATTAGAAAATTGGAGCACTAAAGGATAAAAATAGCAGAGAAGATCATATGGAGGGTGTTAAGTCAATTATCTCATATTCTGCATAACTAATACAGATTACATAGTTAATTAAGTTATAAGTTTCTACACAGCTTCACAAGAGAAACACATACTTATCAACCTTTATGTTTAGAAATATTTTCTAGAAACGCATTTCATAATATTTTCTATCGAGAATGTTCAATTAAGGCGTAACTTTACTTTTCTGTCTATGTAAGGCATAAAGTTACAAGGAAATTGGTTAGTAACACCCACAAAAATATTAATCAACTTTAAAATTCAAGGCATGTGGCAGTCAGCCATATATCTTCTTAACAAGAGGTCTAACTCCAATATGCTCATATATTCCAGAATCCAGATATATGCTCTGTAGAAACATCTTCCAAGTCCAAACATAGATCATCAATTTATACATCCACTTGTCTAGTCATAACGCATGTATATCACCAAAACTACATTATGTATTAACTCCAAAAACTCCTTAACAAATAATAGAACTCCTACTCAAACATACATATGATGAAGAAAACTCCTTTGAGTGGGATCAATTTGTTACCTATATACTTGCTAGATAAGAGTGGTCGGCTTCACGTACTCAAGACATTGAACTCGGTCCCTCAAGCCCCAACCGAAAATGTTAGTTTATTTTGGTGTGTGCTTTCCAAGTGCTCGGTAAGTGGCACATGTTCAATAATTTATGTAAATAAAACCATGCATATAGTCATATAAATGTCTATATTTGAAGTAACATATTTATAAATTCAATCCGAATAAGGAGTTCATGATAAATGTACAATATCCTTCAAATCACTATCTATTGGGTCCAAACTGCCTATAACGACAATCCGCATCGCTATTGGGTTCAACCTGCCTACAACAACGAGCTGCATGCCTCGTAAATTTTCAAAAGACCTGTTTCCTGTAGTGATCTGATTGGCTCAGGGTGCCTACAAAGGCGATCTGCTCGTCTTAATCCTTAACAGGCATGTGACTTTCTTAATTTCTAACCAAAAAATAAGGTGAGATTTCATTTCACAGGATATTAATCCTAATTACAGCGAGTCAAATTTCACAGTCTAGATCCGAATAAAACTAAGGCCCTAAGCTTACATAATCTCACATCTGATTTAAGATCTGGAGACTAAACTGACAAATCCGACCAGAGCTAGCAAATACTCAACAAATTAGCTCGATCGACGCGATTGAAACTCAAAAATGATGGAAATTGGGAGAAATTACCTGATAAGTGGTGTCGAATTTGTCATACATGAATCGAGTGATGATGCTCGTTTTCCCCACCGATTGATCTCCCAAAAACACCAGCTTGTACTTCGCCAAAGCCGATACCACCGACATTAGGGTTTCTCTCTCTCTCTCTCTCTCTCTCTCTCTCTCTCTCTCTCTCTCTCTCTCTCTCTCTCTCTCGCTCTCCAACACAAGATCAAGAATCAGAGCAAATCCAGAGAGAATCCCTCTGAATTGAGCGGACCAAAGAAACAAGATCGCCAAGAATTAGGGTTTCTCTCTCCTCTCTCTCTCTCTCTCTCTAGAACGGATCAAGAGACGAAATCGAGATCGAGATCGAAAATAAAAGATCAAAGGAAGTCGATTTGGACGGGAGCGCTTTATGAATCGAGACGGCAGCGAGACAAGGAGGAAGGAGAAACAGCGGAACCCGCTGGAACTGATGGCAGCGAGACAAGGAGGAAGGAGAAACAGCGGAACCCGCTGGAACTGATCCGGTGTGTTTTCAAACGTCAAACAGCAACGTCGGGCAATTACTGTTAGCCATATCCCTGTAAGCTTCCCTTGTCGAGTTTCGATTGGTTGTTTTCGATGTTTGGCGCGTGATCTTCCACATCTGAACGGTTCCCGCCATTCTCGATTTGGCTCGGGCAGTCAACTGACTCATTCGAAGAAAAATGTTTTAGACAGCTTAACCCTCTCAAATTCTGGTATTCGCAAAGAAAGCCCTTCTCGGCTTCTGCCTTCAAGGCCTTGCAATTTTAAAATGTTTGATCTGGTTTTGCTTTCGGGAAAAAAAAGGTTAGTGGATTGTATGTTCCAAGGGGACCGAGTTTACGTTACGACCATTTATGGACACGTTTTGGGTTTTCTTTTTGAGTTTAAACGTTACAGAAAGTCGTAAGCTGATTTAAATATACACGACATATTTTGTTACATAATCTTTAGTTTAACCAGTGGAACAAATGAATATTTGAATGTTTCATTTGCAAAATCAGGTTTTTATTTAAACACGCTCCATTGCCTGCCGTTAGACTTGCATCTTTTTTTTTTCCAATTATTTCAAATTGGGTACGTACGCAGTTCCTTGCTTTTTTTTGAAAGCAAATGACAACTATATGCAGCTCTAATAATTGCAGTACAAGTGACAATTTTGTGCTAGTTTATTCACTATAACTATTGTTAATTGCATAAAATTGTACTTACAATTTCAGTTGTAAAATAATGTTATCATATAGAACTAGTTTCACAAACACTAAATGATTATTTCAAAACTAACACAACAGAAGTACATCGTATTCCTTTGATTAGCCTCTACTGTATGCTGTCACTATTTCTGAACGCCCTATCAATTAATATCCAAGGTGAGCGCCGGTCGGTCATCATTTTCTTGATTAAGTTCAATTTTCTCTGATGTAACATGATCCTGCCCCTCATTAAAGTCAGATTCAGGTGATAAATCTCGTTCTTCGTAGTAGAATGGGAAGGTTTTCTCTAAAAATAACAAGAACGTCGCTCTCAAATCTGAGGAGGGATCTCTGCATGCTCAATGAAGGAAGGAGTCATTTATTTATTTATTTTTAGCTACTCTTCACTAATAACGGAAATATTTTAATTGAAGGATTGGGATGTAGCTCAAATGGTAGAGTCCTCGCTTGGCATGCGAGAGAGGTACAGGGTTCGATTCCCTGCATCTCCATCATTGTTTTATAGAAATTATTTTTTTATAGTTCGTATTATTTGTTTTTTTTTAAGAATCTGAAATATGATGTCAAAAGTTAGCATAGAAGTGTGAGGTCTATTGCTAAAATTTAACATGTAAAGGGGAAAAAAAGTTTATTTTAACTTCTCTCCTTTTACATATTTTTGACATCCCTACACTTTTTATTAACATTTTATCATTGCGTACTTACACCTAGGGCTGTCCAAAACAGCCCGCGGCCCGGGCCCGGAAACCCAGGCCAAGTCCGGGCTCCGGGCCGGCTCTTTTGTGCCCGGCCCGGCCCGGATTAATTTTTTTTATGTATTATATTATATATGTATAATATATGTATATATAATATATTTCTATATGTGTATAATATGTCATATGTGTGTATATATATACTCTCTCTTAGTATATAAGTATATATAAGTATACACTATCTTATATATGTATAATATATGTGTGTATATATATATATATATACTAATATACTCTCTCCCTTAGTATATATGTATATATAAGTATACTCTCTCTTATATATGTGTACTCTCTGTTGGGATGTACTTATCTATTGTGATGCGATGAATTCCAAAATAAATTTATACTTGTAATTTGTAAATAATTTATTAATTATTAATAAAAAAATTATTTTTATAATTTTTATTTATAATTTATGTCATTTTAAGTGATTAATAAAATTATTATTTTTTGTCTTTTTTTATAATTCAAAATTTAAATAAAATTTAAAATTTTGATAAAAAAATAAAAAAAAAAACCCGGGCCCGGACTCGGCCCGGGGTGCCCGGGCCCGGGTCCGGGTTCTAGTTTTGCCCGGCCCGGGCCGGATGGTCAGGCCTACTTACACCCATATTCATAAGTGTCCGGGTTCTAGTTTTGCCCGGCCCGGGCCGGATGGTCAGGCCTACTTACACCCATATTCATAAGTCATAGGATACAAATTTTTGTATATTAGAACAACTGAAGTTGGACCTTTTTTTTCTTTTGTGGCAGAAAGCTAATATATATACATTTTTTTGAAAGATATAATGGTATACTATATATACGCTTCTTCTTAGGCTCAGGCTTTTCCTTAAAGGGCTTGTTTGGATTGAGGAGAATGAGAGTGAAGGGAAGTTAGGGGAATCATTCACCTCCATTCATCTTGTTTGGAAACACTTAGGAGGTGAAGTTAATTCACCCTAGTTCCCCTTGGTTCACCCCCTAATACTATAAAATTTGTTACCCCTCAAATTGGGGTGTAACCAAGGGGAAGGGAACTCCCTTCCCTTCCCTTCCCTTCTCTCAGTTTCCCTTAACTTCCTTTCACCCCCTACAAATCCAAACAGACCCTAAAGAAAAATATTATGGATGGTTCTTGTTCATTTATCAAAATATTATCAGTCTCATAATATTCAGGGCGGAGTTAGGAATTTCGAAGGGGGTCCAAAAAAGGTTAAACCCTCATCTTAAAAAAAATAAAAATAAAAGATATTTGACTTCTTTTAAGAAATTGCTTCATAATTGAGTCACTATGTTAGTCCTTAAATCTTTCATATTTTGAAATTAGTCTCTCAAATAATGGAAATTGCTATTACGTCCCTCAATTTTTAAGGTATTTTTAGATTAGTCACTCCACTCAACAATATAAACAGCGACCGGAGAGATTAAATTTGAAAAAAAAAATATGAAAATTGGAAAAGTTAATAGTCCACAACAATATATTTAACTTGTAATACCTCCAATTGTTACTTCTGCTTGTGATTGGAGTGATTAATTTCAAAATAAGTTAAGAATTGTGGAGCCTAATAGGAACATTTGAGGGGTTTATTTTAAAATATCATCAGAATTGAGGACTGAGGAGTTGGCAACGTGGCCAAAATCATAGAAGAATCCAACACTTAAGAACACTGATTTATTTGAATTCAGTTCAATAATTTGTGTTGGGCCTAGCCGGCCCAATTAATTTGCCTAAAAAGACAAAAAATAAAATGAATATTAGCAGCCTCTCTTCAGCCTGACCAAAGAATACAAAACGAAAATAATAGAACTAATAAAACTTCAGAAGGTTAAAGTACCATATTGATATTTTTTGTTGACCCCTTTTAATATTTTGGTATTTTTTGTTACTCTGACAACAATATAATATTTTTTGTTCTTCGCCAGTAAGAAATTTTAAAAGTAGTCCCTCAAATCTTCACTATTTTGATATTAGTCACCCAAATCGTTAAAATTTTGAAAGTAATTTACATATTTAACTTCATTACA